GAACTGTCTGCCGCAGCGGAGACAGCTCAAAGCCTTCACCTCCTTGGGTTCTGAAGAAGAGAAGGAGAAGCAGGGTGTCAGTGCTGGTGGATACAAGGATTATAGGTCACAGTAGCCAGCTAGACCCCTTCATGGGAAAGGCTCTACTCCAGGCACAAGAACTCTGCAGTAAGAACAGGTGGAAGCCCCCCACCCCCACCCCCAGGAAGCTCCTTAAGTAAGGAAAATCTCTAGTGAGTGCTAAGTACACCAGGATTGGGTAATTGAAATTTATTTTTTGTGTTGCTGGGGATGGAACCCAGGGCCTCATGCATACAAAAGCAAGTGCTCTAGCACCAAGCTGCATCTCCAGCAAGATGAAAAAGGTAAAAACTTCAGTCAGAGTGAAGGACAGAGGGGAATGTTGTATGGGATACAGGGTTAGGACAGCCTTGCTGGAGAGGTCACTAGGGTCTACAGGTGTAGCTCAGTGGGAGTGCACTTGCCTAGCACCAAGGTCCTGGGTTCCATCCCAGCACCCAAGGGAAAAAAAGGTGACCAAATTCAGAGAACATTTCTATGTGCTAGGTGCTGTGCCAGGGCTCAACTCCCTCAAAACTTTCCTTCAGGACAGGAAACGACCTCTAAAATAGACATTGCCTCCAATGTCACACAGCTTGGAAAGGGTGGAACTAGGATTTTAATCAGAAATCTGGGCAGTGGGGTCAGGGGTGGAAAACCTTTTTTTTTTTTTTAAAGATTTGATTTAATAATAAACAGTTCTTGATTACTAAGGGGGCTTCTCTGTTCTAGGCTCCATGCTTAGGGACATTCCGTCCCATGGATGAGGGGACGGAACCTGCCTGTCCGTTGCATGGACCCCTATAAGGTTTTCTCTAGACCCACTGGGTATTTTAAAGTGGACACTTTCTAGATGTACTTAGTTTTAGATTTTTCAAATCCTATAGACAGTTTTGGATGGGGTGGCCTTTCTGGACCAGTGTTAAAGTCAACAGCAGAGACTTGGGAGGCTCAGCCTGACTGGAGTCAAATTCAGACTTCTCTGCTAACTGGATGAGTGACCTTGAGCTAAACATACCCTCTCTGAGCCTGTTTCTTCAGCTACTAACTGTGGGGATCCTAGGGATTCCCTCCCTTCCAGGGTTTTGTGACCTTAAATATGGGACAGTTGAGAGCTTTGGTCCATACAGGCCCTCAAACATTAATCCAGCCTAGGATACCAAGGTGCCCACAATCAGGAGTCCAAGTATTATTCCAGGGAGTTCATGAGAGCCCTGCCCTCTCCCACCAGGCCACCCTCAGGCTGCAAACTAAAACCATCACAAAGCCCCGCCTCCTCTCTCCCACCAGCCACTGTCTCAGGCCCAGCCCTGAATATAATTCCACTTCCTAAGTCCAACTAGGACATTGGCTGGAGGCTATAAATTCATAGGTTTGAATGAATCCCACAGCCACAAACTTAGGAATCCTCAGAGGGTGTTAATTCCCTCAAGAGAAGGACACTAGGTGTCTTGCCACTGGCTCAAACCAGGGGCTTCCCAGCCCGGATTACTGGGAGATTCCACCATGGCACCAAGAGAGAAGCCCCTTCCCTAGCTCTGAACAACTGTCCCAGCACCTTGATCAACAGTGATGAAGAAATGGAAGGGAATGGCAAGCCTCCCCTTCCAGCTGGTCTCCAAGCCCCTCCCCCAGGCCACTGCCCTCCCAAGAGGTCCCTCTACTGCCACCCTGGTCCAGCCACCTGGCCAGTTATTTCTGTCCAAGGGGAAGGAGAAGTGAAACCAGATTGGGGGTGTGTGGCAAATCCCCAGGCCAGTTTTCTGGGGCTGGCCACACCCTGTGGGCCGCCCTCCTTCCCTGCCCAGCCCCCGCCCCACCCCCTCCCACCTCTAGTCCCTGCCCTAGGACGGGCAGGCCCTGGCCACGCCTAGGCTGCGCCCGGTGGGGAGCGAGAAAAGGGAAGTAATGCTCAGTGCCCTGCTTGTCCACCTCAGCCCCTCTCCAGCAGGAAGCCGAGCCCTTGAACTTCAGAGGGGGACTGAGCCTGTCGTTACTCACCTGAGCCCAGGCAAGGGCTGGGGCCTCTGAAGAGCTGACAGCCCAACTTCTTATGGTCCATGAAGGCAGTGATAGCCTCCAACGGGAAGGTCTGCAGGCAGCGGCCGCAGGTCAACAGATCTGGGTGTTTGTCGGTCCAGGGCTGGCGGTCTGCAGGGAGGAAGCGGGTGGTGAGCGCCGGGTGGGGCCAGGATGGGGGCCGGGGGTTCCGAGGGAGAGGGGAAACCCGAAGGTCAGAAGGGGGCTGGGACCAGGACGCGGCTAAGGCTGTCCCAGGGGCCCATGCGCAGGGCAGGGGTCCCACTTGGGGGCCACACATAAGGAGGGCTACCCCGGGAGCTCACCGGAAGGGTTCGGGGTCAGCGTCCAAAGAGCCCACTGGTTCCGCACCCCGAGGGCGGGGAGGGTGGCCCCGGCAGGCACGGAACCGGGAGAGTAGCGGGGCTCGCCTCCGAACCGCCCCGGCACCGACACCTCCCTCGGGGAGAAGGGCCCCGGCCCCAAGGCCTGCAGGGGCCGCACGTCTGGGTCGGGCTTCATTTCGATGACGAGGTCGGACATCTCCATCCCGTCGTCTAAGCTGGCGGCCGGCGCGGGGTCTACACGGCGGGGCGTGCTGCCGGCCTTGCGGCGGGACATGAGTCGCGGGCCGGGCGAGCGGGCGGCCTGGCGGCGGAGGACGCGCGGGCGCTGCACGCTCGGAGCGAGGCGCTCAGGTGAGTGGCTGCAGCGACCCGCCGCGAACTTTTACACGTGCTGGCCAGGCCGTGGCTCCGCCCACCGGGGGCGGAGCCTGACGGGAGAGGCCGGGGCGGCCCCGGCGGCCGCCAAACTCAATCCGCAGTCCCGACCCTCCGCCCTCGCCTTAGTGACCAAATCCGATCATTCCGAATTCTTCTGAGGAGACTCAGAAGTAGGTTTTACAGAGCCCATTTTCGGGCCGGTGAAACTGAGGCACGGGATGCCCCCACACACTTAGCGGGAAGGGGTCAGGCCACCTTTCTTACCAGGCACTAATAATCTGGACTATTCCATTAAACGTATTGCGGGAAAAAAACAAGTGGACACCATTTATTGAGTGCCTTCTGCGACCCGGCGCTGTTCTAAGGGCTGCAGATGCAGGAGTGAACAAAATCACAACTAACCCTGCCCTCTGGAGCTTAGGTGGCGGGGGAGACACTGAACACAGATAACCTGTGTCAACTGCGGAGCACCGTCCGTGATGACAGGCGCCAAGAAGCAAAATAAAGCTAGGGATGGGGACAGGGTAACCCCGTGCCAGCAATTTTCTCCCCACGCCGGGGCAGAGTAGCGCGGAGCTGAGACCGAGGGAGGTGCGGGAGTCGGTCTGGGCATTCAGGAACGCTCGTGGGTGTAAGGCGGGGCGGGGAGGGATTGAGTTCAGCGAGAAAATGGGGCTCCACCACACGGACCTTTGGTCAGTTTCATGTCTTTTGGTTTTCCTGAAACAAGCCCTGGGCGGGTTTTGAGCTGAGGAGGATTGTAATCATGTACATCTACTTTTTTCCTAGGCCACTAAAATCAAATAGCCCAGCAGGTGTGGTCATGCACGCCTTTAATCCCAGCGCCTGGAGAGGTTGAGGCAAGAGGATCACAATTTTGAGGCCAGCTTCAAAAATTAGTAAGACCATGGGCTGGGGATATAGCTTAGTTGGTAGAGTGCTTGCCTCACATGCACAAGGCCCTGGGTTTGATCCCCAGCATTCTCCCCCGCTCCACAAAAAACTTAGCAAGGCTTTTTCTCAACCTAAAAAATTAAAAGAACTTGGGCTGTGACTCAGCCAAAAATTGCCCCCAGGTTCAATCCTCAGTACCAAAACTAAAAACAAACAAACTACCTGCCCCTTCTTGGGCCCCTGGAACTTCTTTCCTCTAGCAATTCTATCTGCTGCTGTTTGAAGTGGCATTGACACTCTGCCCCACCCTCAGTCCTTTCTGAGTTTTTTTTTTCTTCCTGGCAGAGACCACGACACAGTATAGAACTGTTGACTGCCCCCCCCCGCCCAACCTAAGGCATACCCCCTGAGGTTAGGGTCAGGGTCTGTCCTACCACAGGTGTCCCTAGCCCAGCCCTGAGTGAATTCCTGATGCTGATCTCCTGGAGTTCCGCATATTGTCATTCAGGTCTCAGCTCAATTGTCCTCTCTGGAGCAGAAGGCCTCCCTGACCGCCTATCTAAAGTAGCCCCACCCTGCTGAAGGCCTTGCAAATTACCCTCGATGACCTCCATCTGTCCTAGTTCCCTTTTGGACCTCAGTTTCCCCAGTTCTCAAAAGAATGTTAGAACCAGAGGGTTACCCGAAGTGGCCACCTCTGACCACCCAATGAAGCTCCCAACCCTGCCACACACGAATGCTGTGCCCCTTATTTTAGTTCGTTTTGCAGTACTGGGGTTGAGCTCAGGAGTGCTTTGCCACTGAAGGACATCCTCAACACTTTTTTATATTTTATGTTGAGACAGAATCTTGCTAAGTTCCTGAGACTGGCCTTGCAATCCTCCCTGCCTCAGCCTCCTGAGTCACTGGGATTATAAATGGGAGCCACTACTGGGCTGGGATTATTTCATTTTATTTTTGGCATCCAGTTATCACGTGCTGAAAGATCCCATTTATGTTTATGTATTTGCTCATTTATACTCTCTTCTATTTTTCCCGCCCCCTCTAGAATGCAAGTTGTGAGATGGCAAAGGGAGCCCTGGTCTGGTTCAGAGCTTCTCTGCCTCATGATTCAGTCAGCAAGTACGAATTGACCTCCTTTTATGTGTCTGGCGTCTTTCCACAGATATTTGCAGAGCACTCGTGTGCCAGGCCCTAGGAAAGCCGAGGTACTCAGGATCCCTGCCCAAGTGGACTTTAACGAGGGGAGGAAGCGAGTTCGGCCCGGGCCTAGAGCTGAGAGGTTCCCGTTTCCTCATTCAGGGTCTCAGTTTTGTAAACCTGGCCAGCAGGGAGAGCTGGAGGACAAAATGACCCTCTCGTCCATCTCAGCTGCTGTCCTTTAAGCCTATTTCCCCGTCCGCGGCTGCAGATAGCAAGGTTGCCACGGGGGAGGTGGCGTTCCCCCGGGAAGTGCGGGGTAGGAGCGTGTCGGTGCCGCGGGCGGGGGCCAAACGCTAAGCTCTGCCCTTGACCCAGCCCCGGGGAAGACTTTCCCTCTATGAGCCTCAGTTTCGTGCTCCGTAAAATGGGCACCCCAGACGCCCCCAACTAACAGGCTGGCCCCAGGTCAACGTGCTGGCGGGGCGGTGACCAGGGCGGTGCCGGAGCCAAGCCTCCCAGCCGGCCGCGACCACGTGGGGCGGCAGCGGCAGCAGCGGCAGCAGCGGCAGCAGCAGCAGCGGCGCTGGCGGAACCCAGGCTCGGAGGCTTGCTGCCCGCCCGGGCCTCTGCAGCGAGGGCCCCGGCGGAAGTGTGGGCGCCAGAAGCCGTGGACCTGGGTGAGTACGGGGTGGCGGTGGGGAATCAAGGGCAGGTTCCCGGCCCCGGGAAGGCCCGGAGTGGCGGGAAGAGGCGGATCGCGCCGGCCGCAGGTGGCGGAGGGGGCAGGCGGAGTGCTGTCCCTCGGGGGAGTAAGGAGGACCTGCATGATAACAGTAGCAGCGGTGGCAGTCAGGAGACCCCCGTCTTCCCCTGGGTGGAACCACGGGTTTCCTCGGAGCCTGGAGGTGGGAGGAACGTCCAGCCCAACGCCCAGGGCGTGGTGGGAAGTGGACGCCTGGGGGCCGGGAGGACCTACTTAGTATAAGAAAAGGAGAGCCATTAGTGGCCCCGAGGAACTGAAAGAAAACTGACCTGCCCCCAGGGGCGGAGGAGAGGCGTGTTTAGGGTTCAGACCTGCTCAGGTGGCCCCATTTAACAAATTTGCCTCGAGACAGGGCATCCCAAGGTATGTGCCTGGTCACGTCTGCTGTCTGCTCAGTTGGGTCCTGCCCTTGGCTGTTAACCTGTTAACTCAGCTGGTTCCCTACCCTGGCAGCTGCAAAGGGTTGGCCCAATGTTGCTTGTCCACTGAGCTCTTCCTTTCTCATTTTCTTAAGCGTGCCCTGAGGCCCCAAGCAGGGAGATCAGTGAATCCCCTTCCTCTGCCTGGACCTAAATGATGAGATCTAGACTAAATGGTTGGTTTTTCAAGTGGTGGCAAATGACTTTGGACATTTTTCCTGAAACCTTTGGGCAGGAAATCCCTGCCCCCCCCCCCCCCCACCCATTGGATTAAGATGATAAAGGCCTCTAGGGCCCGGTACCAGGGAGAATGGATTAGCCCGCCCTGGCCTTTCTTGGACATGCTGTGTAAGGTTTCTCAAACCTGTTTCTTATCAGGTCACACCTTGGCTCCAAAACCCTCAAGGGCTTCCCCTGGACTGTGGAAAAAGTTTGTCCTTGTGCATAGGGTAGGGTGAGAGCCCCTGCTCCATTGGCTGTAGGCCCTGTTGGCTCCCTTGCCTGCCACTCTGCAACCTGTATCAGGTAATGATTCAACATCTTCCAACTTCATTTGTACTTTTAGGAAAGTGACAAGTCCCTCCACTGGCCCTTCCTTCATTTCTTTTTTTTTTTTTTAACATTTATTTTTTAGTTGTAGATGGACATGATACCTTTATTTTTAAAATTTTATTTTTTATGTGGTGCTGAGGATTGAACCCAGTGCCTCACGCATACTAGGCAAAGGCTCCACCTCTGAGTCACAACCCCAGCCGCTATTTATTTATTTTTTTAATAGGCTTTAACATAATTTTTTAGCTGGTAGTGTGGGCCCATAATCCCATCTACTCTGGAGGCTGAAGCAGGAGGATTGAAAGTTCAAGGCTAGCCTGGGCAGTTTAGGAAGAGCCTGTCTTAAAAAAAAAAAAAGAAAAAAAAAATGGAGACTGGGGCTGGGGATGTAGGTCAGTGATAGAGTGCCCCTGAGTTCAATCACAAATACCTGCATCCAACAAAGTAAAAACCCCCTAAAACAATGTGTTTGGCCACTTGTTTAATTCCCATCTGGGAGACCTCAGTGTTTATCTTTTTTTTAATATTTATTTTTTAGTTTTAGGTGGACAAAATATCTTTATTTTTTATTTTTATGTGGTGCTGAGGATCAAATCCAGTGCCTCATGCATGCTAGGCATGCACTCTACCACTGAGCCCACAACCCCGGTCCTGAGTGTTTATCTTAAAATACTTAAATGTTAACTTAGTTTGGAGAAAGGCCCTGGGGACTGGTGACAGTGGTCAGATAAGTTTTTTAAATGTAAATAGCCCTTAATCCCATTCCCCTCAGTCTCCTGCATCAGGAAAAAAAAATTGGTGTCTCCCTTGACCACCTTTTCATCCTTCAAGGAGAGCTCACAACCTTAAAAACATACCCATATCTGACCTCCTTTCCCCACCCTCTCCTAAACACTGTCATTTACCTGGGCCATACAGTGACCTCACCTACTTCTCCCAGTGTCCCCAGTCTGTTCTTTGGGCAGCAGTGAAAACGAAGGCCAGATCCCCGTTTTTCCTACAAAGATTCAGAACCACTTTTGTGCTCCCATGTCTCTCAGAATTGAGGCCCAAATTATTTTTATTTTATTTAAAAATTTTTGTTGTTGTATATGGACATAATGTCTTTATATATTTTTACGGGGTGCTGAGGATCAAACCCAGTGCCTCACACATGCTACCCACATCTCCAACCCTAAGGCCCCATTTTTTTTTATATCTTTATTTTGTTGGTTTATGTTGATGTGGTGCAGAGGATCTAACCCCGTGCCTCACATGTGCAAGGTAAGCATTCTACCACTGAGCCACAACCCCAGCCCCTGAGGCCCAAATTCTTATCACAACCCATAAGGCTCTCCATCCAACTCTCATCACCCTGTCTGCTCCACACTGACCTCCTGACTGTGCCTCAAGTGCACCATCAGGAGGCCGCTATAGTGATGCGCCTTTGTGTTTGCTGTTGCCTCTAGCTGCGTCCTTCCATAACCCTGCTCCCTGCATCTATCCCCTCCTCACTCAGGACCTTGCTCAGATATGTCCGCCCTTCCTGGACACCACTTTCCACCCCCTCCATTTGACTGGGTGCTGCCCCCTCTGAGCTCCTTCCTTCCCACTCTGCCCACTTTGATCTGCCCTCTTGCCTGGGGATGAGAGTGTGTACCCCACTGGATGTTAAGCCCATGGGGCAGGAATGGATTGGGCTGTTTGAGTCCCTAGATTTGCTCTCAAGACCCCCTAGCATGGGCTTGGCCCAAGAGCAGGCACAGTGATGATGGTATTGATCATATTGGATAAAGTGGATGGGTGAATCATTTTCTTTTAAGCATCTTGATTTGCTTTATTCTGTGATTCTAGAATCAGGCACCTCTTCATTCCATAAAATCAAGGAAGTGTTCCCTGGGTGTATGAGTCTTTACAAGTCTTCAAAAAATATATACAGAATCTCCCCTGCCCTACACCTGGTCAGCCAGTCCCCATTAACCAGTGGGATGCAGTTGTGAAGTAATCAAACCTGTCACCCTCTCTGAGCCTTATGTTGGTGGGACAGGCAGCTTGTGGGTAGATAGGTACACTCGGGCACTTTGTAACAGCATGTCCATCAGGATAGGAGTCCCCAAGTATGATTACAGAGCTAAGAAATTCCTAATGAGGCCATCCCTGGGATGACATTGCAGTGCAAATGTGACTCACATTCGTGATGGGGCTGGTGTGAACACTACCGTAAGTCAGTGGGCATAAAAGAATAGTACACGGGGCTGGGGTTGAGCGCAGTGGTAAAGCGCTTGCTGAGCATGTGTGAGGCACTGGGTTGACTCTCAGCCACTGGTATAAACAAATAAATAAATAAAGGTCATCAATAACAAAAATTTTTAAAAAAGAAAGAATAGCACATACAATTATGGACAGTATGTAATATTTGATATTGACAATAAATAACCATGTTACTGTTGTGTGTATTTGTGATGCCATGTGTTTTATCACTAGAGTGTGCTCTTATTTATTTTTTTTAAAGCAGCCTCTGTTCATGTGCTCTGAATCTATTGCATCAGGAGGCCACTATAGTGAGCGATGTATGCCACCTAAGTTTGTGCAGGGACACTATGATTTTCACACAGTGGTGGAATCCCATGCTTCTCAGGAGGTACTCCTGTTGTTAAGTGTACATATGGGACAGTAAATACATATTGTCGGGAGGTGGTAGTGCCAGTGTCATGTGTCTATAGTCCCCACTACTGGGGATGCTGAAGCAGGGGGATTTCTTGAGCCCAGGAGTTCAAAACCAGCCTGGGGCTGAGTACAGTGGGGTACGCCTGTAATCCTGGTGTCCCAGACTGAGGCAGGAGGATTACAAGTTCTAGGCCAGCTTCAGTAATTTAGCAATCTCAAAATTTAGAAAAGGGCTAGAGATGTAGCCCAGTGGTAAAGTGCCCCTAGGTTCAATCCCTAATGCCACACACACAGAAAAAGGGAAAAAAAAAAAAAAAAGAGTGTACCTGCCTGTAGAGATGATATTTGAGCAGCAAAAAGTGAGCTATGCTTCTGGAAATATATGATCTCCTATCTGAAAGAGGGTTCCAGGCAATAATAATGGCAGGTACAAAGTCCCTTGGGCTTTGTTTGGACTGAGGTTGCATACACCTGGAACAGAGGGTAGTGCGGTGGGAGATGAGGTCAGAGAGGCGACAGGCCTTATAGCTTCTGTAGTGGTGTGGGCTCTTGCCCTGGTTAAGGTGGCTCCCGGACTTAGTTGTAACAGCATCCCTCTGACAGCCAAGGTGGGGAATGTACTGGGGTGACAGTAGAGACCCAGGAGCCCAGTGGGGAGGTCTCTGTGATTGCCTGATGGGAGGTGATGGTGGCTGCACCCAGGAAAAGGCAGAGTAGTGGTGGGGAGAAGCTGTGGATTCTGGATGGCTTTTAACTTGAAACCCAAGCTTTGCTAATAGAATCACAAAGTGGCTTCGAGAAAGTGAGGCGTCTGGGGATGGTCCCCCTGGCTCTCTGGACAGTCACCACCCTCCCACTCACACTTCTCCCCACTACCCTAGTCTTTTTTTTTTTTTCTTTTTTAGGTGCTAGGGTGGAACCCAGGGCCTTACATATGCTAGACAAGGGCTTTGCCACTGAGCCAATCCCAGCTCAAGGTCTTCATCATTTTTGGGGGGTACTGGGGATTGAACCCGGGGACTTTTTACCACTGAGCTACATCCTCAGCCCTTTTGTTTTACTGTGAGACAGGGTCTCACTAAATTGTCCAGGCTGGCCTTGAATTTGTGATCCTCCTGCCTTGGCCTCCAGTAGCTGAGGTTACAGGTGTGCACCTTCATACTGAGCCTTGTTTTCTTTCCTCATTTAGTTTTGCGGCACTGGGGCTTGAACCTGGAGCCTTGCGCATGCCAGGAAAGCGCTCTACCACTGAGCTACATCCCTAGTCTAGAAAAGCTTTTTTTTTTTTTTTGTACCAGGGATTGAATCTAAGGATGCTTAACTACTGAGCAACATTCCCAGCCCTTTTTAAAATATTTGGGTGTATGAATCTTTACAAGTCTTCAAAAAATATTTACTGAATAATCCCTCCTACCCTACACCTGGTCAACCAGTCCCCATTAACTAGTGGGATGCAGTTGTGAAGTGTTCAGTCCTGTCACCGCCTCTGAGCTTTATGTTGGTGGGGCAGGCAACTTGTGGGTAGATAGGTACACTCAGGCGCTTTGTATAACAGTGAGAGAAAGGGTCTCATTGAGTTGCTCAGGGCCTCACTAAGTTGCTGAGGCTGATTTTGAATTTGTGATCCTCCTGCCTCAGCCTCCTGAGCCACTGGGATTACAGCTTTGTGCCACCACTCCTGGCAGCAAAACAATTTTTTAGTAGACTTTTTTTTTTTTTTTTTTTTTAGTTGAAGATGGACACAATACCTTTATTGCTATTTATTTTAATTTAGTTGTCAAAGGGTCTTTATTTTATTTATTGTGGTGCTGAGAATCGAACCCAGTGCCTCACACATGCTAGGCAAGTGCTCTACCACTGAGCCACAAACCCAACCCAATATAACATTTTTGATGCATGAAAATTATATAAACCTAGAATCATTGGAATCACCTCCCCCTGGGGTACTGGGTGCCCAGTCCTTGTCAGTCTCCTCCTCAGTCACTAGGTTTTTGAGGGCAAGGGACTAAACTACAGACGAGCCTCTGTCCTCCTCTCAGTCTCCTGCTCACAAAGCCAGTGTGTTCTACATGCATTTAACATCATGGCAGCAGCACTTAACGTGTCCCCGGCCTGAGTTGAACACAGTACTTGGGTTCAGTCATTTGGTCCCCAAGCTAACTCTAAGGGAAGTCCCTGCTTACAGACGGGGAGACCAAGGCCCAGAACCATGAAGCAGTTTCCCGGCCCCATCTACAGGAGCCTGTTAAATCCTGATAAGGGCGCAGGAGGCATCAGTCCTGTGTCCATGATCATTCTTATTATTTACTTGCTGTGAGGGATGGAGCCCAGGGCCTCGCATAAGCCAGGCAAGGCTTTACCACTGAGCTGTATCCCCAGCAGGGACTGTCTCTGGACTGAGGTCACGCGCCAAGCCTGGTGGGAAGGTGTTTCCACCCTCACTAGAGGGGGAGCAGGACTTGCTGAGCCTGGTCTTTGGGCCACGGTGGGAACAGCAAGGTGGCTGCTTTGAAGCCACCTGAGGGAAAGGACATCCAAGCAGAGATAGGAGGAGACCCTGTGGGAGCCAGGCTTTGTGCCCAAGGACCAGTGAGGAGACCAGTGGCAGTGGGGACAACAAGAGTGGCGCCCACTGAGCTGGCAGGGCCTTGTGGGCTGTGGCTTTGGCTTTGAGAAAGAAGCTGGTGGAGGGCGGGAGCGGAGAGGATGTGAGCTGCCTGGTGTGTTAACAGGGTGCTTTGGCCAAGTGGGGGGGCGCAGCTGTGGGGGATGAAGATGAATCAGGGAGGAGGAGCCGACTGTGGCAGTCTAGGCGAGAAGTGACTGGGGTGGCATCAGGATAGAGGCAGAGGAGGGGCTGAGAAGGGGGAGGGTGTGATGAACATAATATAGCTTTATAAGCCTTTGTCTTTTATGAACTTGACTTTGTTTGTTTTTAGTCCAGACTAGTTTTGTTGGTTTGTTATAAAATGTTTCTCAATTTTGAGTTTGGTAATCCATTTTTGGAATGAATACCAGAGATGTGGTTCTGTCCTTGGTGTCATTACTGGAGCTGTTGGCTTCAGTCGCCAGGTAAAGGGGGTGTCCGTCAGGTGTCTCCACTATGAAGTTACTGCTTTCCCTTTACAGAGAATAAAGATCTTAGGAGGAGGTACTTTAAGACAACACAGATATTCTATTCCTCATCAAACTTTAATCCCCAAATCTTCACATCCATTGATGATTTTTCCAACACATTGTTCCTCTTACGTTCATTACTTGACGTTCTATAGTAAGGAAGACCTTCCTGGCTCCCCCTTTATTTGTTCATTTATAATTATTATGGACTCTGGTTTCTGTTTCTTCTAGTAGTTGTGGTCTGTAACTATCATTATGTTCAAGTTCAAGTCCTTCCAGATTTGGCCAGCAGGGGCCCTTTCCAGCTGGCTCCTGCACAGGCGGGAATCTTTTTGGAAGCAGGATTTCCTGATGGACTGGGTGGTTTGTGTGTATGAGAGAGAAGGCTGAGGGTCATTAGCAATATTTATTGCCTAGAACTGGGATAAAGTTTTGATAAAAGCAGATCAAAGTCCCTTCCTTCGTGGGGCTTATGTTTCTGTGCTGTAACACTTTGATTCTGGCCCAAGTCACTGGGGGAATGGTGGTGCCATTTCCCAGGAGGCGGAGAGCTAGGGGATACTGGCCCAGGTTTTAGGAGAATCAGTGTTTTAGACAGGTTGAGATGCCTGGAAGAACAGTGTCTGCCCCCCTCCTCAAGCCCTGAACCCCCACTTAAAGACTTCCCTGTTCTTCACTCAACAGCCAGCACAATGCAGACGCCATTGGCCATTCCTGTGCCTGTGCTCCGGCTCCCCCGGGGCCCCGACGGCTTGAGTCGTGGCTTTGCCCCTGATGGACGCAGGGCCCCCCTGAAGCGCGTAGCTACTGAAATCCAAGAGTGTCCCATCCTTCAAGAATCTCCAGAATCCCAGGAACAGCGAGCCCGAGCTGCCCTTCGGGAGCGCTACCTCCGCAGCCTGCTGGCCATGGTGGGTCGCCAGGTGAGCTTCACACTGCACGAGGGTGTGCATGTGACTGCCCACTTTGGAGCCACTGACCTGGATGTGGCCAACTTCTACGTGTCGCAGCTGCAGACTCCCATAGGGGTGCAGGCTGAGGCACTGCTTCGATGTAGTGACATTATTTCATACACCTTCAAGCTGTGAAGACAGTATTGTGGTCACCCTTCTGCTGTGGTCTTAGCCACAGTATTGCAGGCCTCCAAATGTTCCTGAGCCAGGCACTGTGGACCCCACAGAGTTCTGAGCTCCCTGGGAATTTGAACCAAGCACCTCTGGATTTTTGAGGCCTCCAGGGTCTAGTTGTAAAGGTCTGCAACCCTAGGACTTCCAGATCTCGTTGAAAGGAATGCTCTACCTTGTAGAACTCTGGACTCTACAGAAATATGGGCCAGTGCCAGTTCCTGAAGACCCGGGTGGGAGGGTGGGGGCTGGAGAAAGATGAACCGCATTGGAGAGTTTGCAGAATTCAACCACCCTGAAGATAACGCCCCGAAGCTCCCCTCCTGCCAAAGAACCAATTATTCCAGGAAAATTTGACTTCTGGTTTTCATTTTCTATGTATTCCATGGGGGATGGAGTCAAATTTAGGAGTTGTTAGAATGGTTATCCAAGGGCGGAATCCTGTGGGGCTGGATACAGATGGTGAGGAGCTTGGATAAAGGTGCAGGGATTGTGTCACCCCGGGTCCCAGGGAGACCCCTGGAGACCCCTGAATGGGGGCTCGGGACCTAATTTTGGGGTGGGCCCGATGGACCTTTACAAGGCCACGGCATGGCTCTTATTGGGTCACTTGGTCTTGCACAGGTGCTCATGGCAAGCCGCAGATTTGCTTTTCTGTTCCATACTGGGTGGGGGCGGGGGCGGGGGGGATGCTCCGATCTTGTGGTGATGTCTAAGAAGAGGCTGGAGATTAAAAGATAGCGTGAAGCTTTGACTTTCCTCTATTTGGCCTTTGACCTTCCTCCATTTGGCATGGCCATCCATGTCACCATCTTCACTCAGTCCCCTCTCACTAGAAATCTTTCAGCAGATGGAATTTTTTAAAAAGTTCCTGTCCTTTTAGTCCCTTCAAGCTCAGAAAGTAAGTGAAGCCTTCCAGTAAGTACAGAGGACTTTTTGTTTCCTTTTCAGTCTCAAGAAGGGCTGCTGCCAATGTACGGGGCAAACGGATAACCTCTCTGCCACCGTCCGTTCACAACGCCACCTCTGGCGACTCCTAGCTCTCTAGTTGCCTAGGCAACAACCTGGCTTGCTCCGCCCCGAGGCCCTTTTATAGTCTCAGCCCCGCCTTCCCGGGTCGCTGGGTGGGCTGGGAGAGCGTGTCGAAAGTGCGGAGGCGAATCCCGAGGGCCGAGTCGACGCCTGGGGGCGCGGCTTGAGCTCGCGCAGGTTCTGCCGGGCGGGGCATCCACCTTCCTCTCCAGGTGTTTGGGTCGGCAGATTCATCTCTCGCCTTTGGAATTTTATTCTCCCGGTTTTAGGTCAGGTCTGTGAATACTTCTCACGGAATCATATTTATCTTAATATCGTAACTTACATTTTATGTAACGCTGCCAAGACACAGCTTTTGATGAAACTGCAATCTGCAAATGGAAAGCTAGAGACTAGCAAGAGAGCATCTTGGTTTCCAGAGGATCCCTTCTGTCAGCGCCCGTCGCCTGTACGTACGCATACTCAGCGCAGCTCCCACTGCCTCTCATCCCTTTATTCCCTCATCAGTTGGCGGAGTCCTGCCAAACAGTTGTTTTGATAACTATCAGTTCCCCTCCTTTCCACATAATCTGGGATCGTGGCGAATGTACGGGAACCTGGACGCAGTTACCTGTACCGAGGCGGGGCGGGGGGCGGGGTGGCTCAGTTTCGCGCGTGCGCGCTGCTCTTGGAGACGGCGTCCACCTCGCCCCGCCCCCCGTATTCTGCAGTTCCGGCTCTGCAGATTCGCTGCTCACGTTTCTTTTCCCGGTGGCTTTTTCTGCCCTTTGTTCCCTTTTTCACATTGCCCGCAAAAACAATTCTTCCTGCAAATGGCCTAAATAGATTTTCTGACTTTCCGAGTGCTCGGCGGGGGTCCTCGGCCTTTAGCGAAAGTGCGACTGCGAATAGCAGAAGCACTCGGGGCTCGGCGGAGGCGCGCTTGGGCTCCCGGCGGCGACGACGACTACGACGACAAGGAGAGCGTGCGGAGGAGGCGCCTGAAGCAGCTGCTGAGCCCATGCCCCGGGACGGCGGGCGGACCCGGAGAGACGAGCCCGGGGCCCGGGGCATGTCCCCGGGGCCCCCGTGAGGAGGCGGCGGCAATGGAGATCCCGCCGCAGGAGGAGCAGCCCGGGCCCGGCGCGGACACCGACGCCGACGCCGAGGCGCCCCCCGCCGAGGCCGGGTCTCCGAGTCCCGCATCACCCCCGGCCGATGGGCGCCTCAAGACTGCGGCCAAGCGCGTTACGTTCCCATCGGACGAGGATATCGTGTCCGGAGCGGTGGAGCCTAAAGACCCCTGGAGACACGGTAGCCACGGCGAGGGCGCGGGGGCGGGCTGGATGGGGACCGGCAGGCGGGAGAAGGCCGGGCACGGAGGCGGCGCTCGGTAAATTGTACCTAAGGTTGACTTGAAGAGACCGTACTAGATTTCGAGATGAAGGCTGTTAGGGGCTGGCTGTCGGGTTGGAAAGTGGCAAGAATTGGGTTTCTGCCCCCTCCCACCTCGGGACGCCGAGGGTGAATGTTTTAGGATTGACCACGAAGAAATTAAAGAAAGTTTGGTTTGTTGATTTAGGAGATTGGGAGGGTGGTAACCGTTGAGCTCATAATTCCCCCCAGAGAAGGATAGGGCATTCGGGGGAGGCAGAGTGGGTCGGCATCGGCCTGGAAAGGGCAGTTGGAGGAATTTGATAGGCCCGTGGGGACGGCGAGAGATTAAGTCGTTGGTCCATAAGCCTCGAGACAAGGGGTCCTCATGCTGATCACTTTCCTGGTTGAAAGGAGAAAGGAATAAACCGGATTTTGGCTGCAGAGGAGCTGGTAAATCCTTCAGTTGGGGAAAGTGAATAGGGTGAACTCCAGGGCACTTGCCCAACAAGTTCCAGGCACTGGGGGGCGGGGATGGGGGCGCGGAATCCCGGACAAAGAGCAGAGGTGGAGGTAAATTTCCTGGTGGGATGAATAGTCAGAGGCAGTGTGAGGAATTTAGAAGAAAAGCCACTGCATGTCACCTTCTCCTCCCCCAAAAAGGGAAGCAGAGGATTGTTTGTCGTTCAGGAACAGAGGAAGCTGGGGCCTGGTCTAGAAGGATCTGGTTTTCCTTTTGGGAAGGAGTTGGGGATGTTATGAAGTTAGGAGTTGGAATCACTCGTGAGTAGGATTCCAGAGCATTGAAGTCTGGTGGCCTGTGGGGGTTAGGAGAGGGCCAGGTCCCTGGATACTAGGAGAAGGTTGGGCTGAAAGGGCAGCTGGACGCATACATTGGACCCATAGGGATGGGGACTTGGGCAGCCCCTTTCAGCCTGCTTCTTCACTGGAGAAGTCAGTTTTACTGGGGTGTGGCCTGTGAAGAGAGGGACCTTGCTTCTGTAGACATTGGTCTGCTGGCCTTAGGAAAGGAGAGGCACTGTGGTCAGTCTGTGGGCATTGGAGGAATTGGTGGCTTTGATGTAGGGGTGGGACACTTGGTCACTGGAAACTGAACACACAGGGAGCCTGCCATAAATGCCAGTTTGTCTAGTTATTGTCAGAGATGATGGTTAATTTAAGACTCTTGGTGTTGAGACCCAGCCAAATTTTGGGCTCCAGACACCAGGGCTAGTGGAGCAGTATGGGGTTGGAGGGCTTGGGAGCCTGGGACTGGGGGAAGGAGGAGTGAGAATGAGCCCTGGCTGTTGCATGATAGCCAGTCCAGGGAGTTCAGAGTGGGAAGGGAACGGCCTGGAGAGGAGAGCAGGATGGTTAAAGCAGAGGCTGTGGGGCAAATCCTGACCTTTCTGTGTGCCAGTTTCATGACTTCGGGGTGATTACCGTCTCTCGTGAGCCTCACTTTTTCCATTTGGAACGTGGGCAGCAACACCTATGGCGCAGGGTTTGGGAGAAGACAAGATGAGATCACATATGCAAAATGAGTGTTCAGGCTAAGTCTTCCTGAAATTGCAGTTATTGTGGTGGTTGTCTTGTTTTTTGGTGTTACTGATTTGTTCCTTGTGGCATGGGGGCAGTGTTGGGGGGGGGTGTCAAACCCAGAGCCTCATACATGCTAGGCTAGTTGTTATTAATGCAACTTCTGCCTGCATAGGTGCCAATAGAGTGGAGTTGGCTAGGGAGGGGCCTAGATGAGGCTTCAGAAACTTCCAGGACATATGTAGAGATGGCGGCAGATTTGTGCGATGGAGGGTCGGTGAGGGCTCCTGGGAGTTGGACACGGGTGGGATTATGCCTCTGGTCTGTAGGTTCTCAGGAAAGGTTCAGCTTTGAGGAAGCAGCTTTTCCTCTCTGAGCCTCCTTTTTCTTTCTTTGCAAATGGAGGTGCTAGCTGTGAAGATCAACTAGACAGTCCTTGTGAATTCCTGTCACATAAGTAGCAGCTGTTATCCAGGCAGCTTGGTGTTTGGTGTTTGTTTTCTCAAGGGCAGGGTGGTTTTGTTTTGTTTTGTTTTTTTAGTTGTTTCATTTTGATTTTTGGTGCTTGGAATTGAACCCAGAGATGCATTACCACTGAGCTACATCCCAGTTCTTTATTCTTTTCTTTTCTTTTTTTTTTAACTTTTTGGTACTAGGGATTGAACCCAGGGGCACTCAACCACTGAGCCATGTCCCCAGCCTTTGTTTAAATATTTAGAGACAGGGTCTCACTGAGTTCCCTAGGGACTCACTAAGTTGCTGAGGCTGGCTTTGAACTCACCATCGCCTTACCTCAGCCTGCCTAGCTGCTGGGATCACAAGCATGTGCCACCATGCCCAGCTTCATCTTTTAAGAGAATTGGTGTGACTGACCTGAACTTGTGAAACTCCTGCCTCAGCTGCCTGAGTTGCTGGGATTAAAGTGTTACCCCCCCCCCCATGCCTGGCATCGTGAGCAGTTTGGGAAAGGCAGAACTTTGTGGGAAGGGATGAATGGGAATCTGAAGGTGGTCAGTTGGAGCCTGGCTGGGAGGGCTGGATGGGAGTGCTGATTGGCCTGCTCTGGGTAAGGCGGAGGTGGTGACGCCCTGCAGACGAGGGAGTATCATTCCCAGAGTTTTAGAAAGGGTCTCACCCTTTCTAGTTGGGTGGGTGGATGGTGGAGAAGCGATGACATGATGGGGTGGAAGGATGGGCCCAAGCTGGCTGGAGAGAGGGCTGCAGGAGCTGGCCTGGCAGTGAAGGAGTTGTGTGAACTTGGACACTGGCAGGAGAGGGATCTTGGGAAGCTGGTGAGTTTGGACAGTGGGATTTGCAGGACACAAAAGTCAGAAGACCTGTCAACACCAAGGAGCAGGTGATAACCTCTGCCTGGGAGGACAGTGGGGTGTTGACTGGCTTGGGGCTGTGGGATGTGGGGTGCTCCCCGGGGGTAGAGGAATTGTGGCACAGAGAGTTGGTCCAGGGCCCAGCTGAGAGGCCAGGGGACTCTGGTGGGGGTGGGGGCTGCAGGGAGGAGGGATCCGTCTGGGAACAGGAGTGGGAGGTTCCTTGGATTTGGTATCTACACTCTGTGTGGCAGGGGTGTCATTTGAGCTGTGGGTCTGAAGGGAAGAGTGATGGAGGAGCCCATGTGGGACCTGCTGGGTGGCATGACTCCACCCAAGGCCAGAGAGTGACAGTGGAGCTGGCAGGTCTGAACTGAGGGAGACTAGGCCATCCAGAGACTGTTCTGCTTCTCCCTGGACTTGGAGCAGTTGTCTAGGCTGGGGGGTACAGGGGGTCCCAGGGTGGGGAGAAACCTCCAGCTGTGGTAGCAGAGGGCCAGGAACTGGGTGGGAACCTCTCTGAGGGTGAGAACTCTCCGTCTTGCAGGGGTCTGGGTTGGGGGCTTTCTGAAAGTGAGATGACCCAGGATCTTGCCATGAGGGAGAGCCTCCAGCCTATGGAGGCCCAACCCAGAGCCTCAGAGGGCTCTCCCAGGCTCTGTCCTAGGGTTCCCCCTGCTGAGGACCTGCCTGTATTTTCCATCAGTGGCTGTCTGATGCCCCACTGCCACAGGGAAAGGAGAGCAGGCGCCGGGCCGAGCCACCGGGCAGATTGTACCACGGGCGGTGGAGTTCTAGGTGGGCCTGGCAGCATGTGCTCTCTGACCTCTTGCTGGGCATTGTGTTTCCTCACCTGTAAAACGGGGCCAGTGATCTGTGTCCTGCAGACCACTCAGACGTCTGAGAGGCTGGGACGGCCCCAACCGCACGGGGCTGCGAGCCAGGACAGGTGTGTGTGGCTGGGTGGGGAAGCTTGGTGAGGAGGTGGGTAGAGATCGGGAGTGGAAGAGGCAGCTTCTGCACTGCTGGCTGGGCACGTGGCTGTCAGGGAGGGGACAACCAGCTGCACCCACCACAAGGGGCAGGCCCTGTGGTCCCAGTTTTTCTGAGGACCAAAGCTGACCTTGTGCCAGGAACCTTTCCAGACCTAACTGCAGGAGTGACCCGAGGCTTGGCTGGTGTCCCTGGTTGCAGCTGAGCGCAGCGTGGGGCTTGCAAGACAGGCGTGTGAGGGGAGCGTGAGCGGAGCATGTGACACCAGCACAGTCCCGGCGTCTTGCCCCCACCCCAGCCCTGCCAACGACTCAGTCCTGCTTCCCTGGCCGGCAGTCCGGGCGTGCATGGCAGGGTTGCCCACCAGGAGCATCTGGTGTGCAATAGTGGTGTCTGAACGGGAAGGAGGCCCAAACATGCCACCGTCTCAAGTCCTCTGAGTTTTAGGGTATGGAGAGGGTGGTGAGGGCAGTGTCCTTAAAAGTATATCCAAGGGAGTGGAAAGGCCACGTTGTTCTCGTTGAAACCTGTGCGGAACATTTAGTCCTTGAAACTGGTTTGACAGGTAGAAATGTGTCTGTCTGCGGAGGAAAGGACCTAGGTTAAAAGCCCAGGCTGGCTGGTGCGAGGGGGGGCATAGCTGGGGAGTGGGGCCGAGGGGGTGGCTTCAGTGCCATCTGGACCCATCACTGCCTCCTGCTGTAGGAGTGGGAAGTAGACTCTGAGCAGCGTGACTCTGAGTGGCAGTTCTTTCTGGGCCTTGATTCTTCTGTCTGTGAGGAGCAGCTGGTGCAGGGGCCCCCAGAGTGGTGGGCTGAGGCGAGGAGCAGGGCCTGGGCCTTGCGGGACCAGCAGAGGCCGCCTTCCTCCTCCAACCCCACCATGGCTGCCGCTGCGATCTGCTTCCTCCTTGGTGCACTTGGCCTCATCTCTCCCCGACACTGTCACCCTGCCAGCATCCCTCTTTCCCTCAGGCCCACCTAGATAGTATGCCACCTGTTACAAACTGGGTGACCAAGGGCCAGTTGCCCAGCCTCTTCTGAGTTCAAAGTAAATGGGCAGGTGTTGGTACCAAGCCTG